TCGGGGTGATTATTCATCAGCATTTTTTTCCTAAAGATTTATGTATTTATTTTGAATGAGTTAGAGAGAAAGAGACAGACAGACTGACTGACTTTCATCCACTGGTCCACTCCTGAAATGTCTGCAACTGCCAGGGGTGGGCCAAGCCAAACCCAGCAACCAGGTACTTCATCTGGATCTCCCACTTGGGTGGCAGGGACCCAAATGCATGGATTATCTTCTGCTGCTTTTCCCAGGTCATTAGCATTGAACAGTTGGGACATGAACTGGCACCCATATGGGATGCCAGTGTTGCAGGCAGTGGCTGTACTCGCTGTTTGGGATGCCTACATCTTATTTCCAAGTGCCTGGGATCGATTCCTGCCTCCACTTCTGACCTACCTTCCCGCTGATGTTTCTGAGGACAGTGGATGATGGCTTCGGTGGCTGGACTCCTGCCACCTAAGTGGGAGACCCATATGGAGTTTCCAGCTCCTGACTTTGGTTTGGCCTTTTCTGGAGTGGAACAGTAGATGGAGAACCAGTTCTCACTTCTCTCTCTCTCTGTTTCTGTGTGTGTGTTTATGTTTGTCACTCTGCCTTTCAAATGAAATGAAAATAAATAGAAAAAATTTTAAAAGTACATAGGAAAATGCTCAGTAGATAGGAGAGTATTCTTTGATGATGTGTTAACCTCAGACCTCACACTGAATGTTTAAAAATATTTTTAGCCTTTTCTGGGTGAACACATACTCATTACAGAAATTTTGGAAATACAAAAATATAGACAAAAATAAAAATCACCTGCATGTGATCTTACCACCCAGATATGACAGCACACCCGCTTCTGAATCAAATTTGAAATGCCTTTTTATTGCTTGTTATGTTGATCTTTTCTTTTAGTAATGGATGATACTAGGCTGTATATAAAAGCTATTAAAACAGACCTCATGATGCAACAATTGCCTCATCTGTGTAACAAATGGATACTAATTATATCTATTTATGTAGTTAATAAAAACAGGAAGACAGTCAAAGGGAAGCTTTTCTACACTTAAATGCTCTTCTTCAGTAACTTCTACATAGAGTACCCTTGTTTTTTTTTTTTTTTTTGCCCATTTATTTGTTTATTTTGTTAATACCTTCTTACTGTTTCGTTCATTTTCTCATTTTCTCCACTGATGGGACTTCTTTAGCTCCTTCTCACTGTGTGTAACACGTGTTCTTTTCTCCCCTTTTCCTTTCTCTATTTCTATCTTTATTTCCCTAGTCGTTTTTATACAGTTCACTTTTCTGTATGGACATGATGTTAGATTTTGAGATTAGTAGCTAATTACTGCCTTTGAGACCTTATATTATCTTTTACCAGTGCCAATATTTGTTTTAAAAGGAATAAGACCCTTCCTTTACTGTCCTGAGGAGCCTAACCTAATCAGCTTTGGCCTCCTCTGTGGGGCCCTTGCTGCCCTGCTGTCCAGAACAGCAACACCGTCAGTGCCTGCCCAGATGCCCAGCATCCACTCACAGGCACACACACCACTAGGCAGTTGGGAGCTTTTGACATTTAGGCTGCAGCTTTTTGTGCCAAATCTTGGTGTGTTTGTATAAACTCATGCCACTCAAAATAAGCAGTCCGCAGGAGAAAGGGCAGTTCTTGGGGTTTAAAAGGGGAAGTTTCCTTCCCCCACCCCTGATCTCAGTGTTTAACATCTGGTTTTGCCTACACATGGGAGGAAAATACAGACTTAAATCTCCAGTCAGCCTGTTCTTGCCCCCAAACTGTTTGATCTCTGATAAAATTTCTATTTTTATTTTGGTCTGTGGGGTCAGATGTTTTTGTTAATGTTTTGTAAGGGGAGATCTAAAGGTTGTGCTTAACACCTTCTATTTTCCTAAGTGATTATAAAAGAACATGTTAACATTTAAAATCTGTACATAGGGCTAGGTTGGATTCTAGGTCATTCTTTAGTGAAACTTCAAAAGAAATACATTATTGTTGAATTTCATGGGTTGCTTTCTTTTTTGAGAGACAAACCAAAAAACAAAAAGCTTAATTCTTCTCATTGTATTTAAGGTTTTAGTTTATTTTACTTTGAAATAAGTAATTCAATCACATGGGAAGAATTCAGACAGCACTGTGTGATATCTATAATTTGTGAAATTTAACTTTTAAAAAGTTTTTTAAAGATTTATTTTTTATTTATTTGAAAGACAGAGTTACAGAGAGAGAGAGAGAGAGAGAGAAAGGGGAAGATCTATCTTCCAAGTGTTGGTTCACTCCCCAAATGGCTACAACAGCCAGGGCTGGGCCAAGCCAAAGCCAGAAGCTCAAAACCTCTTCTAGGTCTCTCCCCTTGGTGCAAGGGCCCAGGCACTTGGGCCATCTGCTGCTGCTTTCCCAGATGAGCTAACAGGGAGCTGGGTCGGAAGTGGAGCAGCCACTGACATCCCTCTCACTAGGGATGTCAGCATTGCAGGCAGAGGCTTAACCTACTATGCCACAGCACTGGCCCCTAACTTTTAAAAAAGGTGTAACTGAAACTTTATGTATCTTTGGTTGATAAAACCGTTTAAAACAGTATTTTCGAAATCTAGATATACTTTGGGGTTTGTTTAGAGGATTCTATAAATTAGCTTCTGTGTTATCAAATTCAACTGAGTACCTGCTTCTGCTACATGTCAACTTAAAATTTGAAATTAGTAAAATGAGTTGGTCTGGTTCTGCCCTTTAGACGGCACCTGAGAATACCTCAGTAATCAGCCTCACAGTGGTTCTGCTGTTGTAGTGGGTATAGCCACTGCCTTATTCTGGAGTCTGAATAATGAAATGCATGGAGTTTCCATTTTCCATTATTCTCACTGTTTAATGTACAGGGCTAATACATCTGCAGAGGAGAACTCCATAGCCATCCAAACCTATGAAACCAAGTCATCCTGGTGTGTGAATGAAATCACAAATTTGTTGTATTTATGTATATCAGGACTTTGAAAGCATGTTATCGGAAACTGCATTTTCATTGGAATCCAGGGAGTTTATCTAGTGAAGTTGGTGTTTGTGTTTTTCAATGGAAGATGAACTGAAAAAATACAAAAACAAAGCATAGTGTTAATGCTGTGCACAGTGTAGGTTAGGAACAAAAAATGATGAGCTCGCCTTTTTTTCTGTGTTAGCCCTCGTTTATGGACTGGCAGTTTCACAGTTCTCTTTAGAGGGCAGGCTTGCCAGAGAAGCAGTCAGTGGGGAGGAGCGTGTGTTTTAAAGAAGGGAGCAGTAGTCTCGTCTTCCTTCTGTACCTAGAGAATGGGAGGAAGTATATAAAATGTTTATAGATATTTATATCCATAATATATGCTCATCTAGATAAGGCTTTTGCTGAACTAATGATTTTTCTTCCTCTACATGGTAACAGTTGTCAGGAAGTTTAACAGAGAACATTGAGAATTAACTCTAAATATTAAAATTGTACCATTCAGATAATTTATTAACAAGGAAATTTAAGAGATTTATTGTTTTATTGATTTATTTGTAGGGCAGAAAAAGAAAAAGAGAGATCTTCCATCTGCTGGCTCACTGTTCAATCAGCCAGGTTGAAGCCAGGACCTGGGAACTCATTCTGTGTGTCCCACGTGGATCCCAGGGTGTATATTAGTAATTAGTAGGCAGCTGGAGTGGGGAGTGGTGCTGGCACCCATCCAGAAATTTATTAACCAGAAATTTTATGTTCAAAGAAATCTTTACATTTCTTGTATAACTTTAATTTGAGTTCAGTGAATTAAATTACTGCCTTCAGTCTTATTTTTGGCTGGGTACATTTTAATAGGGCATTCTCTGTCCTCCTATCTTTTCCCCCATATATCAACTGTATTTGCAAGTCAGTTTCAGAATTGGAAAAAAAAGAACTAATAGTCATGGGTGCATAATAACTAGTTATTAGGAGGTCATATTTAATTCAGTCTTGTGAGAAGCTTCTTTGTCCCTTTTTGTTTCATTTCCTTTTCAAAGCATGCAGTGGGTACCTAACTACATTCTTCTCTTGTGATTGGAGGCATGTGGAGGGACTGCCAGGCAGGACTTCTGTACTCCACATGATTCTCCGAATTGCTCCTGGCAGGGGTTCCTCAGTACCCATCGTTGGCTGAAACTGGATGTTATAATGGGCATCTTAGTGAGTCTTTCATGAAGTGAAATTTATCCAGTTTAAAGGAATACATTTTGTCCTTCTTGTTTCTTGTGGTGTGAAAATATTTCTTCATGAGAAGTTAATGATAGGTTTTGTGTTAACGCTTTTATCAGTGAAATAAATGGGAGTCCTATGTCGGTTTCTCCTTTTTTTGTTAAACATTTTAGAGTCTTTTAAATAAACACCAGAAGCCAGAGGTTTATAGAACTGCTGCCTCTGTCAGTTATTTTATGTTGGGAAGACTTGCTTCTCTGCAAGGCAGTTTTCAGACCCCTTAGTAAATTTCACCCTTGATTTATTACTCCATGCCAGCTTCTCAAAGAAGGCTGTCTTGCTTCTGTGCTCTGTGGGAGGAGCCTTTTCTTGCCTTCATGTTACTTCTCTCAGGTACACAATCGTGGCATCTCCCTTAGGGTTCTGCAGCTGTTCCTTTCAAACTTTGCCTCTCCCGGATCTGGTTGCACTCATCACCTCATCCCCATCACAGGTAGCATGACCATCCATCTTCCTCTATTCCGTTAGAGGTTCTTGTGACAAAAGGTGTTAACAAGGTTGATCGGCATTTTCCAAAGATAGTTATGCTGGAACAGTAGGCATGCAGGCATTGATTGCTCTTTAATTATTAAGTTGGAAGGAGATATATAACAGTTGGAAGAATCAGGTTAGTGGAAAAAGCACCTTCCTGGTGCATTTGAAAAAGGTGATTTCCCAGCTAGCAGGTCATGCCATTTGCCCCCTCCAACCTTTGCTCACCTTTTTTTTTTTTTTTTTTAATTTTTTTTTCTTTTTGACAGGCAGAATGGACAGTGAGAGAGACAGAGACAGAGAGAAAGGTCTTCCTTTGCCGTTGGTTCACCCTCCAATGGCCGCCGCGTCCTGTGTGCTGCAGCTGGCGCACCGCGCTGATCTGAAGCCAGGAGCCAGGTGCTTCTCCTGGTCTCCCATGGGGTGCAGGGCCCAAGCACTTGGGCCATCCTCCACTGCACTCCCGGGCCAGAGCAGAGGGCTGGCCTGGAAGAGGGGCAACCAGGACAGAATCCGGTGCCCCGACCGGGACTAGAACCCGGTGTGCTGGCGCCGCAGGCGGAGGATTAGCCTATTGAGCTGCGGCGCCGGCCCCTTTGCTCGTCTTAAGACTAAAGCTACCCATAGCAGATGGATTGCTTACATTTAGGAATCTCAAAGGCTAATTTGATTGATGGAGATTCTTGAGGGGAGAACTAATTTGCTCCTTTATCAGATTAGCATAGGGGAGCCATATGTACACTGAACTAGTGATGTGTGTGGTCATCTTCTATTTCCTGCAATAGGAGGAAGCAGAGATACAGCAGCCCTCGCTGTAACCTCTGGCAATATGTTAAACCACCAGAAGAATTTAATTTTTCTCCCAAGATGAAAATGTGGGGTTTATTTGGAGTGTGGTGATGAGGAGATTAGGTATCTAATGTTGATATTTACAAATGCAAAAAGTACAGACTGTCCTAGGACTGGCTGCTCAAGGATTAGGGCTGAGTCTTTATTGAGCAAGAGGGATGAAAAATAAAAGTCCCAGTAAGTCCCAGCCCTTGAGAGCTGATCTGAAGGAGAAGCTAAGTCGCTCTAAAACAATATTGCTCCAACCCAGTAGTGACTTCAGCAGCCTCCTAGCGTGCTGACAATGTCAAAGGAGGGACAGACAGATGCATGGAATGGGAAATCAGAGTGAAATCTCTTTCACAAACCTCTACATGGATGCTTTGATCTTGAGGTTGCTGTCCATGGAGATTTATATACCTGAAGGCAGAGCAGTGGAAAATACAGCATCTTTTGAGGTTCCTGCTAACCAAGACTTTTCAGCCTTTAAACATGTGTGTGAGTCACCTGAGGATCCTATTAAAGTGCTTGTTGTGATGTAGCAGTTCTGGGGTGGGGCCTGAGATTCTGCAATTTTTTTTTTTTAATGTTTATTTAGTTTATTTGAGAGGCAGAGATAGAGAGAGACAAAGAGACAGAGAGCTCCCATCTTTTTTCTTTTTTTCCTCCAAATGTGTATAACAGCTTGGGCCAGGACAAGGTAAGGCTTGGAACTGGGACCTGACCTGGTGTCTCCCATATGGGTGACATGGACCCAAGTACTTGAGTCATTGAGTACTTGAGTGCATTGGGTGCACATATGCAGGAAGCTGGAGTCCAGTGGAGCTGTATCTTGGACCCATGTCTAATAGGGGATGTGGGTGCCCTAAGGGGTGTCTTGACCCTTTGGGCAAGCACCTACCCAAAGATTGTATGTTTGTTTTTTTTTTCAGACCTATTGTCATGTTTAATCCCAGTGATCCCAGTGAGAGTCAAGTTGGGAATTGATAATTTCTTCTTTTTTTTTTTTAACAGAAGATCAGTTTAGTATACATTAAGTAAAGATTTCAACAGTTTGCACCCACACTGAAACACAAAGTGAAATATATTGTTTGAGTACTCGTTATAGCATTAAGTCTCAATGTACAGCACATTAAGGACAGAGATCCTACATGAGGAGTAAGTGCACCGTGACTCCTGTTGTTGACTTTATAAATTGACACTCCTGTTTATGGCATCAGTAATCTCCCTATGCACCAGTCATGAGTTTCCAAGGCTATGGAAGCCCCTTGAGTTCTCCGACTCCCAAAGATTGTATGTTTTTAACAATCTCTGAGGTGATATGTGTACTTCTGGTCTATGGGCTAAATTTTGAGTATCCTTGTTAGACATATAATCAAACAAATAGTATAGCTTATACTTTGGCATGCTTAGTTTTTCCATATTTATACTTCAATATAATTATTTTATTCACAATGAAGAAGGTAATATTTTATTATGTTCTGGATGTATATGTATAATATTCTTGTATTATAGGAGGAGGAGTGATAAATGTTTGATACAAATTAAATCCACCAAACTTAGTGGACATTCCTTTTGAAACCACACACTGGGGTGTTTATTTGATGCAGCAGGTAATCCACCCATGAAGACCCCCCACAACCCGTATCTGAATGAGTAAATTCAAGTCTCAGCTCCACTCTTGCTTCCAGCTACCTGCTCATGTGAACCTGGGAAGAAGTAGGTGATGGATCAAGCAGTTGGGTCCCTGCCACCCACATGATCTGGACTGGGTACCAAGTTCATGGCTTTGGCTGGATACAGCCCTGGCTATTGTGAGCAGTTAGGGAATAAACCAGTAGGTAGGAGCTCTCTCTGTGTATCTTTTTCTCTCTTTCTGCCTTGCAAATTAAAAAGAAAAAAAAAGAAAGAAAGAAAAAAAAAAAACAAATAAGTCTAGTGTGTGACACCTAGCAGACATCTATAAAACAGATTTTTTAAAAAAAGATTTATTTTATTTATTTGAAAGAGAGGTACAGACAGAGAGAGGTCTTCCATCCGCTGGTTCATTCCCCAGATGGCCACAAAGGCTGGAGCTGCACCAATCCAAAGCCAGGAGCCAGGAGCCTCTTCCGGGTCTCCCACGTTGGTGCAGGGGCCCAAGGACTTGGGCCATCTTCTGTTTCTATCCCAGGCCATAACAGAGAACTGGATCAGAAGAGGAGCAGCTGGGACTAAAACCTGCGCCATATGGGATGCCGGCGCTTCAGGTCAGGTCTTTAACCTGCTGCCCCACAGCGCCGGCCCCTATAAAACAGATTTTTATGACAGAATTTGACACAGGAAATATATGCTTGCATAAAACTTATTTTAAAAATGCAATACTTCATGTGAGTCCATTTTTTAAGGAGTATACTGCAGTGCATTCCACAGAATGAAGTGGAGTTTATTCTTGTGAGCCTCAAGAAGTCGCCTTCCCCAGGAAGTACCCACAGGGAATGTCAGCTGGTGGCGTGGTGTCTGATGGGATATTGATCATGTGTGTTTGGGTTGGTCATATTCAGCTCAGTATTCTCGTTTCAGTCATGAAGAAGAGACATATTTCTTTGCTACACTAAATATTTATGTGGTGAGTCAATTCTGGAAGTGAGGGAATTACTGTGGTATTTTGAAATGGAAACACATCTTTTCAGAAGTGCATCAGCAATGTGATCTTGGAGTCTGTTTCAAATGGTAATACACCAGAGGCTAAGAGTCTGCCAGTGCTGAACATCTGCTTCTTAAGACATAGGCTTCTCGTGCGTTCCTCTCTGTGCACCTCTCAGTTTGTTGAATCTATTCCTTCAAGGACTCAGGAAGAAATACTCTAAATTCATTTATTATCTTACCAGAGGGAAATCTTTTTTAACAACGCCTTTAAATTTGGATTAAAAAAATTTGAGTGTTCCTAATTGTTAGATTATTCTTGGTGATATACTGGATTGAAAATCAATTGCCACAAGAGTATAGACTCCTGGACACCAGGGACTCATCTTTTATTTCCATTACTTATCATAGTGACAGATCATAGCAAGTCCTCAAAAATTTACATTGAGTGAATAAACTTTATTAAAACTAACTGTATAAAAAAAAGACTAACTGTAGATATGAAAGTTTTTTGAGAACAGAATAGGCAGTTGTGTAAGTGACCTAAACTTTTAAACAAAGCAGCAGCCAGGTGGGCAGTCATCGTGGTGCAGCAGATTAAGCTGCTGCTTGGGACCCGTATCCCATAACAGAGTGCAAGTTCAAATCCTAGCTACTCAGCTTCTGATCCAGCCTTTGCTAATGTACCTTGGAGGCGGCAAATGATAGCCCACGTATTTGGGTTCCTGCCACCCATGTAAGAGATCCCAGTGGAATCCTTGACTCCCGGCTCTGGCCTAGCACAGCCTAGCTGTTGTGGACACTTGAGGAATGAATCAGAGGATGGAAGATTGCTCTCTCAGTCTCTCCCTTCTCTCTCTGTCATTTTGCTTTTCAAATTAAAAGGAAAAAAATTAAAAGTAGCAAGCTATGTTATGAGTAATCTAAGTGAAAAAATGAAAAATTAACGGGTGCTACTTTAGAGCCTGATCTTTGTGAGTTATTTGCATCCTTTTTTTCTTTTCTTTTAATATGTAATTGCTTAAGAAATACTTAAGCAGGAAATAATTAACAAAGAAAAGATTTTATAATTTTGTAGCTTATTCCCCTACCTTCATAAGTTTAACAGAAATTTCGAAAAGTTTTTTCTTTTTAAATATTTCTTTCGTTTTTGTAAGGTATAAATTTCATTAAGTTTTAAATGATAAGTATCTCCAGGAGAGAAATGATGATGGATTTCAGTGCTTCAAAGATAAATTGTGACAGGCCTTAGGTAAATAGGTATAGTGATGAAATATCTGTTGAAAAACTGTTTACCTGAATGCATTTACAGAGATAGACAGGAACAATGATCTGTTCGGTGTTGTAAGGATGGTTCAGGTACAGTTGAGAACCAAAATAATTATATTAGAAAAGTAAAAGTCAGTGTGTTTCTTTAGTGTTGATAAGTCAGGGATTATTAATAATGGTTGACTTTTAAACAGAGACCACCGTGAATAGAACTAGACAAGCCAGCATCCCAGATGATTTCTTACCTTAGACATGTCAAATCTAGTTATGTTAAAGTGTCTTCAGAAAGCATGTAATTTAAATGACAGTTCAATTAAATGACTCTACCTTAAAGTCTATAAGTATTCCACATCTTTGCTTTTATTTTACCTGTGTGCAACGTCAGGAAGTTCTTTAACTTTGACCAAACATTCAAGGCTTGAAAAATTAAATCTACTTTTTGTTAGTATAAATCAAGGGATTAGGTTAATAATATTTTCACAGTTTCATTCATTGTGTGGTTATCTAAGTATATTTTGGGTATTAATTGTAGTAAATTCCTTCTGATCCAAATCTGGGTGAGCTGCTTTCCATTTAGGATAGTGCAGATTATTTCTAAAACTTCACTTGCTTACTTTTTATAGTATCAGAGAAAAATGTATAATGCATAAAATTTTTTTCTGCTATAGAAACACTGCAATTTCTGATGTTGATAGGAATGAAATTTTTAATAATGTATTTGATATTTTTCCACAGATTATTTGCTTATTCATATCTTTTCAACTGCTAACATTGTGATTAAGATGATATAGTAGCCCACTTTATCTGTGGTTTCACTTTCTACTTTCAGTTATCTGTGGCCAACCATGGTCTGAAATCCTAAATGAGAAATTCCCAAAATAAACAACTCAAAAGTTTTAAATTGTGCACCATTTTGAGTAGCATGATGAAATCCTGAGCTGTCTTTCTTTTGGGATGTGAATCTTTCCTTTGTCTAGTTTATCCATGCTGTACACACTACCCCTGGTTAGTCACTTGTAGACATCTTAGTTATCAAATTGACTATCCCAGATCACAGTGTGTGTGTCCAAATAAACCCTATTTCACTTAATGATAGCCCCAAACCACAAGAGTAATCATGCTCGCAATTTGGATATGCCAAAAAGAAGGCATAAGTGTTTCTTTTAAACTAAAAGGTGAGGGGCTGGCACTGTGGCGCAGCAGGTTAACGCCCTGGCTTGAAGCGCCCAAATCCCATATGGGCGCCAGTTCGAGACCTGGCTGCTCCACTTCCAATCCAGCTCTCTGCTTTGGCCTGGGATAGAAGTGGAAGATGGCCCAGGTACTTGGGCCCCTGCACCCACGTGGGAGACCCAGAAGAAGCTCCTGGCTTCAGATCGGTGCAGCTCTGGCTGTTGCGGCTAGTTGGAGAGTGAACCATTGGATGAAAGACCTCTCTCTCTCTCTCTCTGTGTGACTCTGACTTTCAAGTAAATAAATAAATATTTAAAAAAAAAAACTAAAAGGTGAAAATATGCAACTTAATCAGAAAAAGAAAATCATAGTATAGATAAGAATTTGGTACTATCCCCAGTTTCAGGCATCTACTGGTGTCTTGAATTGTATCCCCTGTGGATAAGTGGAGACTACTGTAATAATGGTAAATTGGTAGCACTAATAGTAGTAATAGCAATTAACATTTACCAAATACTTACTGCATGTGAGTATCTTAAGCCAATTATCTACTGCTCTATAGCAAAGAACTCCCAAATAGAGTAGCTTGATTTGACAGCAGTTATTACGGTTTTGTGAATTGCTGATTGGATCATCCACTTCGTATGATATTGCATGAGATGCTAGTTAAATTGAAACTCACATGCCTAGTATTTTGAGCTCACTTGGGCCATTCTGTGTATTCCTTGGGCTCCCTCACAGCGTGGTAGCTAAATCCAGTAGTGCTTTCAAAGAGCAAAGGCAGAAACTACATCTTCTAAGGCTAGCCTCAAAATTTATACAACAACATTTGTATCACATTCTATTGACAGAAGGAAATCTCAGACTGTTCAGATAGAGCAGCAGGGGAAACAGGCTTCAGTTTACAATGGGCAGAGTGGCAAAAAAAATTTGGACATCTTTAATCCTGTACAAATCCTATGAGCTAAGTACTGTTAGAGATGAAAGAGGTTAAGTTAGTGCTCACAGTCATCCAGCTGTTAGTAGTTTAAGCTTGATTTTAGGTCCAGTGTTGACTCTAGAGCTAGAGCTTTTAGCCATTGTAATACTAGTGTAATATTAGTGGTACAGTCAGCTTAAGTATTTTGTCTTTGTACTCCAAAGCCAATATGTGATGATGGTTTTCATTCATGTGTAGGGGACTACTCCATTTGCATTCAGAATGAGACTGTAAAGGTACTCACTTATAATTGTTTTAACATTTATTTATTTGAAAGAGTGATAGAGATGGATCTTCCATCCTCTGGTTCACTCCCTAAATTGCTGTGCTGAAGCTGGGAGCCAGGGACTCCATTCAGGTGTCCCACTTGGGTGCAGGGACACAAGGAATTGGTCCAACTTCTGTGGCTTTTCAGGAACGTTAGCTAGGAGATGAATTGAAAGCAGAGAACTCTGGACTCAAACTGATACCCATATGGGATGTCAGCATTGCCGTCAGCAGCTTAGCCCAGTGTGCCACAAGTTAGGCTCCTGGATCATATCATTGAGCAGCCATCATTGGGTACAAATAGCAAGCTCTCCAAATTTAGCTATTTCTGAATCATTGAATGAAATTGAAAGGTGAAAGACTTAGATTTGATTTTTATCCTGTGTCTACCGTATATATTAGTGCATTTCCTCACCAAGATCAAATAAAATCAACGTTTGGAACCATAGGCTTCCCAGTGAACGTACTCTGGTCTGCTATGGTCTGCATTTTTCATATGGTTTCAGTATTCTAGTGTTTATTATTCATTAACATGAAACATAGAAATTTAATTGCCTTTTGTGTTATTTCTGCTGCTTTGTGGTTTTCTTTGTTGTTAGTTAACATTATTGGAGAGGTTTCTTTGATTCAAAAGAAAAAAAAAATGCCAGAGATGCCTATGATGATAAAGAACAAAATAAAAACCAAGCCTTTCCAATTTATGAATCAAAGTTTTTTTATACTTCTTGTAATTTCAGTTTTCTGTGATATATTTTTGGCTCCCTTACTTTACTTGAGAATGCAGTATAGCGCTGAGGCCTGTTGCAGAAAGTCTGTAATTTGAAATCATATTATAGTTCCATACTAGCTGCAAATTGTGAATTGGTGAATGCTGTTTTGCCTGTAGTATATGGAATTTTGGCATCTGAACTATCTACTCATCTCCTGCTGATCAAAATAAAAGTGGGGATATCCCCATAGAATGGTATGGGGCCTTAGAACTTGAGTACCACAAACCCTTCATCTCTCCAGAGGAAGCAGCTTTGGGCAAACACATCTTTCATAGCAAAGCTGTGTGTGGAACCTTAGGTACCCTAACATATGTTTTCCTCTACTGTATCCCTGTTTAAACTTTGCCAATTTAAGAAAGTCTTAGACCTTTTTCTCTCTTCCTGTTCCTCTTCTTTCTCTTCCTTTCCTTCTCTCTGTCTCCCTTTTGCCTTCTACTCCCTACTGCTCCTCCTGCTGTCATCCACCTCCACCCCCTTTCTTCATAAGCAAATGTTTGTTGATTTTTTTTTTTGTTAAGAATGACAGAAGATATTTATTTTGTGGTCCAGGGAAATCGCAGTGCTAAAAACTGGTAGATTTTTCAGTCATGTTGTTCTAGGATTGCTTTACCTTTCTATTTTTCATTTTGAAAGGAAAAAAAAAAACCTGCCCTGTATATTTCCACTGCTTTAAGAAGACAGCATTGCTCTTTGAGGCCATCAGAATCTAAATTAGTCCTCTTCTCTTGAACTTTCTCATGCATCTATATCATACATCTGGTGAATGGAAGAAAAACTGTGGTTAATTAAATCATCTGGTCATGTGTAGGTATACGTTTCATTTTTAATGTTGTATGGCAAAGAATACATGTGAAGTAGCATTTACCTGTGTCACTGTTGGGGCTTGCTTTCTTCTAAGAATAGTTTAATTTGAATTTTGTGGTTTTTAAGCTTATTTATTTGTTTGAGAAAGACAGCTCTGTCTGCTGATTTACTCCCCAAATGCCTGCAACAGCCAGGCCTGGGTCAGGGTGAAGCCAGGAGCACTATCTCACATGGATGGCAAGGAATCAGCTACTTGTCCTGTCTACTGCTGCATCTCAGGGTGCACATTAGCAAGAATATAGAATAGGGAGCAGAGCTGAGACTCAGAACCTAGGCACTAAGATACAGGATATGGGCATCACAAGTGGTATCGTTACCCCTGCACCAAACACCCATTCCTTTTTTTTTTTTAAATTTATTTATTTATTTATTTGAGAGGCTGTTACACACAGAGAGAAATGAGAGACAGTGAGAAAGGTCTTCCATCTGCCAGTTCACTCCCCGAATTGCCACAGTGGCTGGAGCTTTGCCAATCCAAAGCCAGGAGCCAGGAGCTTCCTGCAGGTCTCCTACATGGGTGCAGGGGTCCAAGGACTTGGGTCATCCTCTGCCACTTTCCCAGGTCATAGAGCAGAGAGCTGGATTGGAAGTTGAGCGGCCGGGACTCGAACGGTGCCCATATGAGATGCCAGCACTGCAGGCGGCAACTTAACCCGCTACGCCACAGTGCCAGCCCCTTGAATTAAGTTTTTAAGGAGACTGTTAAAAAAGTAGAAGATAAAGTCACCAGCTAGATTTAAGGATCCAGATTCCTCATTCTTTTTGAGCAGTGCTTAGACTGTGGAATTCAGTTTTTGACCTTTGTGTTCTCTACTTTTTATGTGAACTATGCGAAATTACAATTCAGAAGCTTCCTTTTGGGGAAGAGGCATTGGAAGAATACTAGTGTACCACTTTTGAACGTACCACAAGTGAAAGACTAAATACAGTACAACTAAGAAATTGGAGATCCGCCATGTAAGGGGATTGGGTGCAGGCAGCAGAGATGCTGTTTTGAACTGAAAGCTAAAGTAGCATGGTTGCCCTTGGGGCTCTTCAGAGGATGGGGACATTGCAGTGGGCATGGGCTCTGTTCACTCTGCTGCAGGTGTACTTCAGGCTTGCCTGAGAAAATCAGTGTCTAATGGCTCTTCAGTGACATTTTTGTTTCTTGTTGAAAATAAGACAATTTTAAAAACCGAAAACAAAAAGATTTTTTTAAAAAAGATTTACTCATTTATTTGAAAGACAGTTATGGTGCAAGGTATTTTTCCATCTAGTTGTTGCTTCCCCAAGTGGATTTAATGGTCAGGATTGGGCCAGGCTAAAGCCAGGAGCGTGGAACCTGATCAGGATGTCCCACATTGGTGGAGGCTCACAAATACTTAGGTCATCTTCTGCTGTTTTCCCAGGCAGATTAGCAGGGAGCTGGATTAGAAGTGGTGCAGCTGGTACGTGAACTGACACTCATAAGGGATGCTGGTATTGCAGTTGGCAATTTAACCCTCTGTGCCAAAATGCCGGCCCTCAAAAAGAATTTACAATATTTTTACCACCTAGAGGTTACAGCTCTCATTGTTTTCTTGTAGTTTTTTTTTTTCTGTTTATACATTATCAATAATGTGCCTTTTAATAGAACTGAGATGATAGGAGTGTGTTATTTATTATTCTGATTTTTTAAAAAATTTTATTTATTAATTTTTTTTATTTGAAAGTCAGAGTTAACACGGAGAGAAGAGAGGCAGAGAGATAGAGAGAGAGGTCTTCCATCCAATGGTTCACTCCCCAATTGGCCGTGATGACCGGAGCTGCACTAATCCGAAGCCAAGAGCCTCTTCTGGGTCTCCCACGTGGGTGCAGGGGCCCAAGGACTTGGGCCATCTTGCCCTGCTCTTCCAGGCCACAGCAGAGAGCTGGATGGGAAGTGGAGTAGCTAGGTGTCGATGCCCATATGGGATGCTGGCGCTTCAGGCCAGGGCGTTAACCCACTGCGCCACAGTGCCGGCCCCTATTTATTTATTTTTAGAGGCTGGAGTGCAGGAACCCACGCACTTGGGGCGGGCATCCTCCCCTGCTTTCCCAGACCACAAACAGAGAGCTAGATCAGAAGAGGAGCACCAGGACATGAACCAGCACCCACATGGGATGCTGATGCTGCAGGCAGAGGCCCAGCCTACTATGCCACAGCACGGGCCCCTATTATTCCAATTTTTTACAATGAACACTTTCATTTTGTCCACCTCTGCCACTCATACATGCACAAAATCTTAAATATCAATAGCAGATTATAGTTAAAGTGAAAGGAATTACTTGGCAAATTTTCACTTGCTTTTATTTTTATATCTGCACTGGCTCTTTGAATGAAAGCAGTTTTAATAACCTCAGGGGAAGAGACAGAATAAATCTCATGATTTTCATTTTCTCCTGTCATCATTGCACAGCGTGAGCATCAGATGAGCGCTCTCTTTCCTCCTCCTGTGACTTGTCTGTCATTTACTCGCTCTGCTCCAAGAGAGGATGGAAGTGAGTCAAAGGTGTTAGTAAGCAGATTTCCAGAGCCGCAAGGAGGAAGGAACTCTCAGGGAACACTTAGTGGATGGGAAGCTATGTGTTGCTTCCTCAGAAAGCATGACAGATGTGTCCCATTTACTTGAGTTCCTGGAAAGTACACACGAGGGGTACAACATTAGTTTCTTTTGTCTTGCTGGTATTTCTATTTTTCCATTCATGAGGAAAGAAAAAAAAATAATAATGGAGAGAGAAAAATGGCAGAGCTCACGGCGTGAAGATAGGTTTCCAGTTTAAACTCCAGTTTTAAAATTTTCTGTTATTTTTGGTAAAAACTCCATGATTTGGGAATTTGATGTCTTAATAGACAGCACTTACATAAACTATATACTCCTTTTTTATCTGATCACTGGCATTATTTGCTTTTGTGGTCTTTGAGTTTTTTTTCAATTTTTCAATTTATATAAGCAGAACAGATTTAGGTATTTATGTATTTCATATGTACAAATTTAAGCTCATAATGAAATTAACCTACATTCATAGGATATCTCCTATGCATAGCAAGCTGTTACGGGTATTTCAGTTTTTCTCCTCTATCACAGTCTTATGCTCCGACAGCAGTGAAATGCTATCTGTATATGAAATAACCATGATGCCCTTCGGAGAAACCTTTATGTTGTGTCAGGTCAGGTGACATGACACTTGATAGCTTGATAAGTCACACATGGGACGAAGTAGGGAAAAGGCACCACTGGAGAATTTTGAAGCAAAACTGGTACATCTGAGAGTCTAAGAAGCTGAGACAGTGATTTGAGTCAGACAAGGAGGAAGGGGAAGGCCTAATCCAATGTGTGGATCAGGAAAAAGAGGAGAACTTTCAAATCGCAGGGCAAGAACATGGAGAAATGGAGTGAGAAACAGTAGAAAACTATCTTGTTCCCACAGATGGTAGTCATTCTTGAAGATATTATTGCTAGAAGAATTTTGAACTGTATTCTATTGAGTAAAAGCAAAACAAAAGCCATCCTTGACACAAGAGTGATAAAAATAAAAATGAAAGTGACAGAACAGGGAAATATAAAACAAAAAGAAAATTAAGAATTTTCTTTCTGTGAGGTAAGAGTTGGAAAAACCTGAACAATTTTCATTTTTCGATTTCTATGTTTAAAATTAAGAAAGAACATCAGAAATATCAAGTTGCTACTTCACTATAATTTTTTTTAATTGGTAGACTACTAGGAGTTGCAAGTAACAAGTGAATTTGGATTAAAAAAAAAGTTGTTGCTGACTAGGTTTCAAGGCAAGTTTTTGTTGTTGTTGTTGTTGTTGTTGCAGAGACTAATTGTGTGTCATATTATACCAGGTCAGAAAAGCATAGTTTGAATTTCTAATGTTTCCTTCTTCTGGCAAAGAAAACAGTTCTGTGTTCTGTGTTGTTTCCAAATGAATCTCAAGCCATCCTGACTTTCTACTTTATAGAATTTTTTATTGCCTTTTATCTTAAAGGAATGAAGGATTGAGATTTTTCTCTTTTTCCCCTCCCTTTCCTAAATTAATAGACTTGTCTACATTTTTAAGATTTATTTTACAAAAGGATAACTTATTATACATTAGTTTTAATCAAAAGAAGGGCAATACTAAAGACGAAAGGGTTTTCTTTATTGAAGTAGATGTAATGCTTTTACAGCAGATGAAAGGAGAGTGATCGTATCATACTGTACTAGGTTTTCATAATAAATTTTCCAGATAAAAAAATTTGTTGAAATCATCAAAGAGATGCTGTTAATCCTACTTTGGCATTGCTACAAAGTTAAAATAACTAACAAAAAAAAAAGTCATTTGGGAAGCTTTTTGGAATATACGTAGATGTTATTTATTTTAGTCCTTGTCTCCATGCTAAGCACTGTTAAAATCCCAGAACGTTTCAGTCCGTGTGAGTGCCACCATGTGTGCCTGGAGCTAATTCCTGACTGATTCGTCTTCCTTCTGCTGAAGTACCCCTTTGCAGGGCCACATTCTGGTCAGAACTGGATCACCCCAGAAACCATCCTCTCATTGATTGCCACCTCTGTTTTGGTTCTATCACAGATTTATTTCCATTACATTGTTCTTTACCTTTGGAGATCTGTAAACCCCTCAAGTTCATGGAAAAAGATTAGGTATGCTAACTATTCATAAGATTAAACAGAAGTGGTTGGTAGATTACAAATAATAAACGACTTATTTATCATACTTTTAAAAATTGTACATGTTAAACTCTTACCTATAAAACTTATTTTCTCCTTAAAACAACTTAAGGAGACAAACATTTATTTAAAATTTTTAGAACTGAGGAACCTGATTCAGGGAGGTTTGTATTTGTTTTAATCGTTCAAGCAATAGAAGCAAGAATATGAATCCGGTACTATGAAAGTTTAGGACCAAGACATTTATTAAGTAGAATAGATTTTGAA